TAAGGTTTTTATGTGCAAAGTATCCCGAATAACGGTGTTTACTCTTTTGTTTTTAAAGGTGACGAAGTCTATTACATTACATTACATTACATTGTATTTAGCTGACGCTTTTATCCAAAGCGACTTACAATAAGTACATTCGACCAGGAAGACACAACCTTGAAGAAAACAGAATCATATAAGTACATCAGGTTTCATAGAGCCAAACATTTCAAGTGCTACTCAACTGGCTTTAGGTAAGCCAGTCCTTTATTAGTATAAAAGTGCTTCGTTAATAGTTCTAACGCTCGAAGTGGAGTCGAAAGAGATGAGTTTTCAGTTTGCGCCGGAAGATGTGCAAGCTATCTGCCGTCCTGATGCCAATGGGGAGCTCATTCCACCATCTTGGAGCCAGGACAGCAAACCCACGTGTTTTCGCCGATGGGAACTTGGGTCCCCCTCGCAGCGAGGGCGCAACGAGTCGTTTGGCTGATGCAGAGCGTAGTGCACGCGCTGGGGTGTACGGTTTAACCATGTCCTGGATGTAGGAAGGGCCAGATCCATTCGCAGCATGGTAAGCAAGTACCAGTGTCTTGAAGTGGATTCTAGCAGTTACCGGAAGCCAGTGAAGGGAGCGGAGGAGCGGAGTGGTGTGGGAGAATTTAGGAAGGTTGAAGACCAGACGAGCCGCTGCATTCTGGATGAGCTGCAGAGGTCGGATGGCACATGCAGGTAGACCAGCCAGGAGGGAGTTGCAGTAGTCTAGGCGTGAGATGACGAGAGCCTGGACCAGAACCTGAGCCGCTTTCTGAGTCAGCTGGGGACGTATCTTCCTGATGTTGTAAAGCGTGTATCTGCAGCAACGGGTTGTAGCAGCGATGTTTGCAGTGAAGGACAGGCTGTTATCTAGGGTCACACCCAGATTCCTTGCAGTCTGAGTCGGGGAAACAACTGAGGTGCCGATGTTGATTGTCAGGTCAAGAGTTGGACAATCTTTTCCCGGGAGGAAGAGCAGCTCAGTCTTGTCAAGGTTGAGCTTGAGGTGGTGAGCAGACATCCACTGAGAGATGTCAGCTAGACAAGCAGAGATGCGTGCGACGACCTGGGTCTCTGAGCGGGGAAAGGACAGAATTAATTGGGTGTCGTCAGCGTAGCAGTGGTAAGAAAAACCATGCGGGCTAATGACTGATCCGAGCGAGTTTGTGTACAGGGAGAAGAGGAGGGGACCAAGAACAGAGCCCTGAGGGACCCCCGTAGTTAATTGACAAGGGTCGGACTCAGACCCTCTCCAAGTCACCCTGTAGGTACGGTCTTTCAGGTATGAGGTGAGGAGGGAAAGTGCAGAGCCTGAAACTCCAAGTTTTTGGAGAGTGCGAAGGGGGATCTGATGATTCACCGTGTCGAATGCAGCAGACAGGTCCAACAGGATGATGACAGAGGAGAGGGATGCAGTTTTGGCAGTGTGCAGTTCCTCCGTGACAGCAATGAAAGCAGTTTCTGTGGAGTGACCTGCCTTGAAACCAGACTGGTGCAGATCCAGAAGGTTGTTCTGATTGAGATAACAGGAGAGTTGTTTAAAGACAGCGCGTTCAAGTGATTTAGACAGGAACGGGAGGAGAGAGACAGGCCTGTAGTTTATAACATCAGACGGGTTGAGAGTGGGTTTCTTTAGGAGAGGGTTTACTCTTGCCTCCTTGAGACTGTTTGGAAAGTGACCAGAAGTTAGAGAAGTGTTGATGAAATGGGTGAGAAACGGTAGAATATCAGGAGCGATAGTCTGAAGGAGGTTTGAAGGGATAGGGTCCAGAGGACAGGTGGTAGGGCGGGCAGAGGTAATGAGGGTAAGAACCTCACTTGGAGAGAGAGGGGAAAAGGAGGTTAGTGTGTTGGTGGAAGGAGGGTCTGGTGACCCAGCGGTGAGTAAAGGTGAGTCAGAAAAAGAAGAGCGAATATCATCAACCTTTTTTTCAAAGTGGGTAACAAAGTCGCTTGACAGAAGTGAGGAGGGGGGAGGAGCTTTTGGAGGGTCCAAGAGGGTGGAGAAGATGGAAAATAGTTTTTTAGGATTGGAATAGGAAGATTGGATCTTATCTTGAAAGAAAGTGCTTTTTGCCTGAGAGATCGAAGCAGAGAAAGAGGAGAGGAGAGCTTGATAGGTTAGGAGGTCGTCACGGTGTTTGGATTTCCACCATTTCCGCTCTGCTGCCCTAAGGACGGTTCTATTAGCACGCAGTGCATCATTTAGCCAGGGAGCAGGAGGGGACTGACGAGCCTGCCGAGATGTGAGAGGACAGAGCGAGTCCAGAGTGGATGAGAGAGTAGAGAGGAGAGTTTCTGCAGCAGAGTTTGGAGGCAGTAGTTGGAACGAATCAGAGGAAGGGAGGGCTGAGAGCACCGACGAGGCAAAGGTAGAGGGAGAGAGGGAGCGAAGGTTACGGCGGACAAGTGTAGGATGGGAAGAGATTAGTTTGTTATGTTTGGAAAGGGATAGAGAGAATGAAATGAAGAAGTGATCGGATGTGTGGAGCGGGTTTACAGAGAGGTTAGAAGTAGCGCAGTTCCTTGAGAATATGAGATCAAGGACATTGCCAGCTTTATGAGTCGGTGGGGACGGAGACAGTGAGAAAGCAAAGGCGGTTAACAGAGATGTTAGTTCGTCTATCTTCCCCATCTGGAGGTTGAAGTCTCCGAGAAGTACAGCGGGAGGGCCAGTTTCAGGGATGTGTGAGAGGAGATGATCTAATTCCTCCAAGAAGTCCCCCAAGGCGCCTGGCGGACGGTAGAGAACAACAATGGTTAACTGTATAGGATGGGTTACTGTGACGGCATGGAACTCAAAGGTGGAAGGAGTGAAGTTAGGTAGCTTGAAGAGGGAAAAGCTCCATTTGGGAGAGAGCAGGAGACCAGTGCCACCTCCTCTGCCAGTGGGTCTGGGTGTATGGGAGAAGGAATATGCAGTGGAGAGAGCTGCTGGGGTGGATGTGTTGGATGGAGTAATCCAGGTCTCAGTGAGAGCAAGGAAATCCAGAGACTGCAGGGAGGCGTAGCCAGAGATGAAGTCAGCCTTGGGAACAGCTGACTGGCAGTTCCACAGGCCACCTGAAACTAGATGTTGGATCTCAGTGGAGCACGTGGGATAGACGAGAGCAGGCCGGTTATATCGATTACGAGATACACGGGGCCAGTGATAATTGCGAGAAGACACATGAACAGGAATGGAGAAAATACACATGATTATAGCATGAGGGGCTAAACAACAAAATGAAAAAATAAAAACACCAACGATACTTAGCTCAATCAAAGTAGGATTTGCCTCCTCTTTGCCTCCCTCGTGACTCCTGTAGGACTCTAATGTCTTTGTCAGTCTTAGCCTGTCTGACGCTGACGCTCCAGGAAAGTGATACCTAAAATGGACGCCTGATTGCTCAGTTCACACAGCTGTAGGGGCACGCCCCTCTAATTAGTTAACTATCTACAGCTGATGGGCGACAATAGACTGGCCCTGCCTATATTAATAATGCAGGCTTGAGTGCTGAGACCTGTAAAGCAGGTTTCGCCTGAGCAGATCTGAGATTTAAAATCTCTCAAAAGCGATTTAGCCGTTTAAGCTACAGTAACAATTATACAGAGTCGAATAAATGAAACCGAGAAGTCTAATTAAACAAGAATATAACTTACAGTGGTTGCTGCGTCAATAGGTAATGTCGTCACCGGGTCCAGATGCACACTGAGTTCATCAGTTTCTAAATGCGGTATTTAAATGCTTTTTGAGCTAAAAGATGACTGAGTCACGCGGTTCTACTTCACGCAATCAATAGACTGGCCCTGCCTATATTAATAATGCAGGCTTGAGTGCTGAGACCTGTAAAGCAGGTTTCGCCTGAGCAGATCTGAGATTTAAAATCTCTCAAAAGCGATTTAGCCGTTTAAGCTACAGTAACAATTATACAGAGTCGAATAAATGAAACCGAGAAGTCTAATTAAACAAGAATATAACTTACATTGGTTGCTGCGTCAATAGGTAATGTCGTCACCGGGTCCAGATGCACACTGAGTTCATCAGTTTCTAAATGCGGTATTTAAATGCTTTTTGAGCTAAAAGATGACTGAGTCACGCGGTTCTACTTCACGCAATCAATAGACTGGCCCTGCCTATATTAATAATGCAGGCTTGAGTGCTGAGACCTGTAAAGCAGGTTTCGCCTGAGCAGATCTGAGATTTAAAATCTCTCAAAAGCGATTTAGCCGTTTAAGCTACAGTAACAATTATACAGAGTCGAATAAATGAAACCGAGAAGTCTAATTAAACAAGAATATAACTTACATTGGTTGCTGCGTCAATAGGTAATGTCGTCACCGGGTCCAGATGCACACTGAGTTCATCAGTTTCTAAATGCGGTATTTAAATGCTTTTTGAGCTAAAAGATGACTGAGTCACGCGGTTCTACTTCACGCAATCAATAGACTGGCCCTGCCTATATTAATAATTCAGGCTTGAGTGCTGAGACCTGTAAAGCAGGTTTCGCCTGAGCAGATCTGAGATTTAAAATCTCTCAAAAGCGATTTAGCCGTTTAAGCTACAGTAACAATTATACAGAGTCGAATAAATGAAACCGAGAAGTCTAATTAAACAAGAATATAACTTACAGTGGTTGCTGCGTCAATAGGTAATGTCGTCACCGGGTCCAGATGCACACAGACATATAGCACAGACAGAGGCTCTGTGTATCAAAACTTTTTCCCCGAGGAGTTCAGACACAACCCCCCCTTTGAGGTAACCGCAGACCCCTGGGGGCCAGCCGTCGCCCTCCCCCGGGACTCAGATAACCAGACAGACACCCCCCTTTTCAACGCTACCCGCCAGCAGCAGCAGCGGCAACAGCAGCAACAGCAGCAGCCGCCTATATCTGAAACCTTCCTACAAATTCCACCAGAACTGCAGGCCGATTTTGACACTTGCAGTGCCTATCTGGACGACTTTGAGTTACAACCAGACACACTCCTAACGAGTCAGACAGACTCACCCCCTAATCCTCGGGTCGAGGGTGAACCATCAGCACAGAATATTCGAGAGATCCAAGCCGGTATATCACTCGTCACAGACCCCCTCCTGACGAGATATCACCCCGGTAAATTAGTTTTATGGTTATTTTACAAGATGTTTGATAAATGAATAGTGTTAAATGTATAATCATGTGTTTTTCAAAATACTTATCCTTCTTTTTCTCTATCTTTTTTCTGTATAGATCAGTCAAGCTATCAAGGTGACCAACACTGCTGCTACTGCCATCTTTATGGACACACCTACTGAGGGTCTCATGTAAATTGATGCCGATGTAACCGACCGGTATGTTTCTTCAGCTGTGACAAATGTATTTCTGATTTTTGTTTCATAAACGGTCAAACATGGATGATTTAGCAGATAGAGAATTTTCTTTTCTTCAGTCTATAAACGACATAAATGAACTAAGCAGTGATGAGGAATTCGTGTATGGAGATATGTCATTTCCTCAGTGTTCGGACAATATCAATGAGTTAAACGACGAAGAGCTTCCATTCTCATCACAAACCAACTCAAGCCATCCCCCCACCTTAGATAGTGCTTTAGAATGGGTATTGGCATACTATCAAAGTGCTGACACTTACCCAGGTCTCTGGCTTTTAAATCAGCTCGCAGACGGAGTAAGCCATCTGAATGGCGTAAATAGCATAGCTTCAACCATTACAGAAGCACCAGTTTCCAGCGTGCAAAATGACTCAGAATAACTAGTTTGCTCCATGCAAAGTAGCGGACATGTTGATCAGAATGACACCCCGAATGCTGCTGAATCACCGGGCCCCCTGTCACAGCATGGAGGAGGCACTAACCGAAATGCTACACCAAGTGTTTTATCTCGACCTGTATTCCATAACACAGAACTGCGTCAGTCTCTAATCCTACCCCTCATATTAACGACGAAGCAGACTTTACATCCTATTATGGGGTTCTGATGAACAATGTACAGGATATGGTAAATTATGCTTTTTCACAGGCAGAGAGGGAAGATATTGTTCAGATTGAACTCCGGGGAGAGCAGCTTCAAGCTAATGTGTCCCCCATTTTGAATGCTAATGATGATAATCTAGCTGATTTTGAGGAGGCCCTATTCAATGCTGTACAGTCAAATTTGGAGGTAATGGCAGACAGTAACCTCGAGTTAGTAGTGCAAATTGTATAATACCCCCGTGGCGGTACTAAACGATTGGCTAGTAAAATGTTGGACAATGAGATAGTTAAAAAGAAGAGGCGTTTTCTGTACGTGGTACAGAATCCGTCCAACCAGCTGTGTTTTGCTATTAATTTAGCACTGTTGTTACACGACAACCTCACTGATAAAGAAGGTTTTGAGCGCGGTAAAGAGATTCAGAGGATGGTGGGTTTGACAGATCAGACAGCTGTGACATTCAACGACATTGTTAAATTCGAAGACAGCTTAAAATGCAGGATTGTGGTATTTTTCATAGGCGATGAAGATCGTACTCACTGTAAATTCCAGACAGAGGGTCCCAAACGAGACAAAACTGTGTTTTTGTTTCTCTTCAAAAACCACTACTATGGGATTAAAAACTTGAAGGGGTTTTTAGGCTCTGCATTTGTCTGTGAACATTGTTACACAGGTTACAGCTCTCAATGGAGTCATTCCTGTACGGGTCATTGTTATGTCTGTCTTGACCCCTCATGTACTCTGGACGAGTTTAAACCCCTCTTTTGTAAAGACTGTAACAAAACGTGTCGTACGGTTGGCTGTCACTCTCGACATAAAAAACAGACACAAAGATCATCAGACATTGCCAGTAACCGCGATTTACACAAAGTGTGTAGATTGTCAACTTTCCTACTACACTCCCAAGAGTAGTGCAGATAAAACACACAAGTGTGCGGTGAAAAAATGTAAGACATGCAAGGAGAAATTACCCTCTGCTTCTACAGCCGATGGTGAAAAACATCTGTGTTACATCAGAGTGTTGCCCAAAGAGACAGAACACAATGACAACATTGTGTTTTATGATTTTGAAACCATGGCGGGGACAGATGGTGTCCATGTCTCCTTTCTGGTTTGCACAAAAACCCTGGCGGGTGAAATTTGGGTCTCGGAGGGCACCGACTGTGCACTGCAGTTTCTGACACACTTTAGGCGTCCAAAGTTCAAAAATGCAACCTTCATCGCTCACAATGCTAAGGGTTTTGACAGCTATCTAATTATCAATGCAATGTTAGAACAAGGATTAAAACCCTCTTTGATAATGCAGGGAAGTAAAGTGATTTATTTTACTGACCAGGATTTCGGCAAAAGTACATAGACTCCCTGTCTTATCTCTCTATGCGTTTAGCAGCAATGCCAAAAGCTTTGGGATTTGAAGATAAAATCAAGGGATACTTCCCACACAGTTTCAGCTCTAAGGCTAATCTGAGTTATATCGGACCTTACCCCCCAGCACACTGTTATGGGATTGAACGCATGACAACTGATGAAAAAAGTGACTTTTTCACCTGGTATGAGACGGTACGCACGGGTACTTTTGACTTTCAAAAGCAGGCACAGCTTTACTGTAAAAACGATGTGGACATTCTTGCCCAGGGAGCCACTTTATTTCGGAAAGGGTTTCTTGCAGAGACAGGAGTTGATCCTTTTAGTCTTGCGACCATAGCTTCTGCGTGTATGAAAGTTTTTACCACCAACTTTCTATCACCCAAAACCTTGGCAATTCCCCCACCCGATGACTATCGCTATGAAAACAAGATGTACTCTGACGCAGGTGTTCAGTGGCTAGAGTGGATAGCCCAAACAGAAGGTGTATTTATTCAACATGCGTTGAACGAAGGAGAAAAACGAGTGGGACGTTTTGTCGTGGATGGTTTCGCCAAAGTAGCCGGGGGCAAGATTGTCTGGGAATTTCTTGGTTGCTTCTATCACGGGTGTCCATCTTGTTACAAGGGCCATGAGAAAAACCCCTTGACAGGTGGCACATTCGAGCAGCTCCATGCTGCTAGTGAGGAAAAGCTGCATGAGCTACAGTCTAGTCACGGGGCCAAAGTGATCGTTATGCGTGAGCATACATGGGTTGAGATGAAAAAATCCAACCAAGATTTACAGGCTTTCCTCAGGGAATACAAAGCGCCAGAGCCATTGACCCCCCGCGATGCTCTATACGGAGGGAGGACATGTGCTGTAAAGCTGAGGCACACGACAGCGGCAGATGAATTGGTTCATTATTGTGACTTCACCTCACTCTACCCTTTTGTAAACTGTACAGGCTTATATCCCCTTGGACACCCGCAGCTCATATTCCGAGATTTCAAAGACCCTCGCAGTTATTTCGGGTTAATCAAAGCCACAGTAGAACCTCCTAGGGGTCTATACTTTCCTGTCCTGCCCTACCGAACTGCAGCTGGTAAACTGGTGTTCACTCTATGCCGCACATGCGCTGAGCTTAACAACCAACAGGGGCCCTGCATGCATAGCAAAGAGGAAAGAGCATTAACAGGAGTTTGGGTGACCACAGAATTCACCAAAGCCCTGGACATGGGCTACAAGATGACTCAGATCACAGAGGTGTGGCATTTTGAGAAGAAAAGTGACAGCATTTTTGTAGACTATATACACACATTTTTGAAGGGTAAACAAGAAGCATCAGGCTACCCTTCAGAGGCCACAGATGATGAGAGCAGACAAAAGTATGTGGCAGACTATCATGCATAGCAGGGCATCTTGCTGGATGCAGATAAAATCAAATCAAATCCAGCCAAAAGACAAGTGGCAAAACTATGTCAACAGTTTCTGGGGTAAATTTGCCCAGAGAAGCAACCTGACTCAGACTAAGATTGTGACCAAAACAGAAGAATTTCTTAACCTCTTGTTTTCAGCTAAACATAAGGTTAAGTATTTCTCGTTCAGTGGTGCTACGGTGAAAAATGCTACTCTCCCCCCAACAAGGTAGATAACATATTCATTGCAGCATTTACCACTGCGTATGCCAGGCTGAAACTGTACAGTGAATTGGAGAAATTACAGCACAAGGTCTTCTACTATGACACAGACAGTATCATATATGTGACGAGACCGGGTGAGACTCCACTGCCCATGGGGGTTTATCTGGGGGATCTGACAGACGAACTGGGGGGCGACACAATTGCAGAGTTTGTTTCAGCAGGCCCTAAAAGTTATGCCTATCAGACCAAAAATCAGAAAAAGGTGGTGATGCGTGTGAAAGGCATTACACAAACGCACGAATGTTGTGAACGAGTGAACTTTGACAGTCTGACAGATCTGGTGGAAGGCTACGTTCAAAACTCTGAGAGGGGGAGGTGTCTTCAGGCCCCACAACACAACATTGCACGGAATAAAAAGGGCTTCGTTTTGAGAAATGTGTCATTCACCAAAAAGTTCCGAGTTGTGTTTGATAAGAGACGTCTATAGACGGAGGAAATACTTTGCCTTTTGGGTATTGAGACAAAATGTTTTCACCCCGTCAAATTGATTTTGAGCCCCGACTACGAGTTCCTTTTTCTTGTTTAGTCGTGGGCCCCAGTGGGTGCGGAAAAACTTTTTTTGTCAAGAATGTATTGCAAAATTGTATTCATGTAATGGATGTACAGCCTCAAAATATTGTGTGGATTTATACTTCTTTCCAGCCCATGTATGCTGAACTGCAGGAAAATAATAAAAATATAAAGTTCATCAAAGATTTGCCTGAATCAATTCAAGATGAATCTCTATTTCCTCCTGATCAAAGTCATTTGATTATATTGGACGATGTTATATTTCAGGCCTCGGAGCATCCTGAAGTAGTCAGACTTTTCACCCAATACCGTCATCACAGAAATATGAGTGTTATCATGCTTACCCAAAATGTTTTTCATCAGGGGAAAAACAGTCGTACCATTAGTTTGAATACTAATTACATGGTCTTGTTTAAAAACCCCAGAGACAGATTACAGATGAACATACTTGCTCAACAAATACACCCGGGTAATAAATCATTTTTCCTACAAAGTTTTGAAGACGCTACAACGGAACCTCACGGTTATTTAATCGTAGACATGACCCCCAGCTGTCCAGACATCTACAGACTTAGATCGGGAGTACTACCTAATCAGTGGCCAGTTGTTTATGTACCAAAAACGAAAATTTGAAACAGTATGTCGGCCCGTTTAAAAAGAAACATGCCTCTGCTGAAGGCTTTGTGTAACGCAAAGGCTTCGAGGCGCAAGGATATTCTCAAGAACTGCTCCACGGATTTTCTTCAATCACTCTGTGAGCTGTCTCTAAATCTTTTAAAGGGTAACATTCCACTATCAGGCGCTCAGTATAAGAAGCTCAAGAAACAAAAGAAAATTTTCAAACTCTTGGCCGATAAAAAGACCAACT